TTCCAACTAATTGAATAATGTAGACCAATAAGAGGACGGAGGCATTGAAATTGAAATTGAAATTGAAATAAGTTTATTGAGGTAAAATACACACAAAGGGATGAGGTAGCTCAAGCTATTCTCACCCCATTTCGGAGGCATTGTATCGCCGATATTATTTGTGTGAAGCAACCCCCACTGATGACGTCACAAGTTAGGTAGCCAGCCCATGTTTCTGTAACACTCGTTACATCCGGCAGTATTTAATTATCACTATATTAATACTTTTAAATACTTAACATTTCACTTTTTAGTTAGATTAAAGTTGAAGCAGATTATCATAAGCAAGGAGGGTGTCCTGAATAAAGATGATTTATTAAGTGGATGGAGCTTTTAGCTGATCCCTTCTTGTGATTGGCTGTTGTGTGATTGTCAACAAAGAATATCTACCGATGATTGATTGATTGATAAAGATTAAGCCACCTAAGAGGTGGCACGGGCATGAATAGCCCGTAAGAATAAATATCTACCAATGATATGCCATTTATTATGCAACCCAATACTGTGGGTTGAAGATTGTGGGCAGAGCTTGGAACCTCCTACCCGAGCACAACAACCCGCCTTATGGGTTGCTGTTTGGCTATTTATAGTGCGTTGGAAAAAAACTAGATGGCGTTAGTGGTATTTTGTGGGGTAATTTGTTATAGGTGTAATTTGGTGTCAACAGATGGCGTAAGCTGTATCTTATGGCTACTATTGACCAGCCAGTTAATAGTGTTCTCTTTTGCCGACAGATGGCATCAGCTGTGTTATTATTACTTCCGAATTCCCTTTAAACACTGATCTACAAATCCCTTGGCTTATGATAAGGTTTTATACCATTTATGATAAGTATTTGATAACTGGAGTTCCGCAATTACTTTTATTTATCAACTGTTCAGGATATCATCATATAATGTCTGGTTAGGACGTATACTGCTCTCGATTGATGAAGATTAAGCTACCCAACAGGTGGCACGGGCATGAATAGCCCGTAAATACTGCTCTCGTAATATTATTCAGGGGGGTGGGGGAACTATCAAGTGAAAGCGCCAAGCCATTACGACTATATAGCACTCGGAAGGGATCGGGATACGGATTTGGGATGGAACGGGGGAAAGGAATGGTGCCCAACTTGTTGGGCGGTCGGGGATTGAACGCGGACCTGTAGGAAACGAGACCGTCGCTCTACCGTCCAGCCCAAGTGATTAAGCGTAATATTATTAAAACAACAATTTATGCATATAATAATAGCATTTAACACTAAATATACTTGGATATATTGAAATTTGATAGTGAATTCCAATCTAGGAATCTCCTATGACTAAACTGTACTTTTTAGTAATTTTTATGTACTTACTACTTATTATTAAATTATTAAGTATTTACTATAATAATTAAATAAATTATTTTATTTAATATTTAAATTAAATGATAAAATAATAGGTAATAATAAATCATTGTGTAGGGGGACAGGCAGCCAGTGTATATATACATGTTAGGCTTATACCAAGGTCCCACAAAGGTGCCACAAAGGTGCCAAATTAAAGACTGGGAGCTGCCGGGGCGGGCCCAAGGGCTGCTGGCGGCCCAGGCCAGGCTGAACTTCCGCGCCCTTATAATCACCATTGTTTAATAATCTTCACAGGGAGAAACAACTGTAAATATAGGAATAGTTTATTACAACATACACGGTAAAGAAAACAGCTCGGAAACTAAGGAAATAAAGCTGCCGAAAAAGCATTAAAGTCCACTTCAAGTTCAAGTATGTTTATTGAGACAATAAAAAAAATACATCTCAAAGGGATAGAGTAGCTTAGGCTATTTCTACCTCTCCCTCCTCTACATCAAGTCCCTCAAGGGGCGCACAAATTCAGTGAGTACAAATACACAAATCACAACAAGAATCCCATTTAACATAGCAGGTTAAAATAGAAAACACATCATATAAGTGTTAGAAGTGAGTTACAAGTTACAAGGGAACAAGTGAGAAGGCGGTGGAGGCCAAAACCGGAATTGCACACTGATTTTAATGCAGATATGTCGTGATTATCATAATATAAAAATGTTAAGGCACGAAAACCTTTTTATTCGCTAAAGTTTATAAGGCAATTAAAAGAACCTAACTGACAGCCCCTCTGTTCAAGTCCCAAATTTTCAAAATTTGAAATTTTTCAAATTTAAAAAAAAAATTGGGCTACTCTTATTACAAATTCGCTACTTTTAGACCGTCAGCTCGCTACTTTTAGCAATTTAGATCTGGCAATCCTGGCGATGAGTCACAATAACGTGGCTAAAGTAAGTTGACCAGACCACACACTAGAAGGTGAAGGGACGACGACGTTTCGGTCCGTCCTGGATCATTCTCAAGTCGATTGTGAGTCGATCGACAATCGACTTGAGAATGGTCCAGGACCGACCGAAACCTCGTCGTCCCTTCACCTTCTAGTGTGTGATCTGGTCAACTGACTGAAAATAGTATTCACCTGCACGTATCATAGATTCTCAATAGTGTCAGATTTCGGCTCAAAAATCACGCTCAGGAGTCAAATTTCCAACATTTCAGATATTTTTAAAACTGCAGGGGAGTTTGGGCAAAATATGACCCATCGCCGTTTTCAGTAATTGGCATATTTTCGGTATAAAAGTCGTAATTTGCAAATGAAAATAGGTGCAGATAGTCAGAATTCGGCTCAAAAATCACGCTCAGGAGTCAAATTTCCGACATTTCAGATATTTTGAAAACTGCAGGGGGGTTTGGGCAAAATATGACCCATCGCCGTTTTCAGTAATTGGCATATTTTCGGTATAAAAATTCGTAATTTGAAAATGAAAATAGGTGCAAAGAGTCAGAATTCGGCTCAAAAATCACGCTCAGGAGTCAAATTTCCGACATTTCAGATATTTTGAAAACTGCAGGGGGGTTTGGGCAAAATATGACCCATCGCCGTTTTCAGTAATTGACATATTTTCGGTAAAAAAAAGTCGTAATTTGAAAACGAAAATAAGTGCAGAGAGTCAGAGTTCCGCTCAAAAATCACACTCAGGAGTCAAATTTCCGACATTTCAGACATTTTGAAAACAGCAGGGGGGGTTTGGGCAAAATATGACCCTTCGCCGTTTTCAGTAATTGGCATATTTTCGGTATAAAAATTCGTAATTTGAAAATGAAAATAAGTGCAAAAGAGTCAGAATTCGGGTTGCCAGATTGGGCTACAAGTAGCGAATTGGGCTACTTTTAAGAGCCCCACGCTTCCAAATTTTTAATTTCACTACTTGCGACTTTTTGGGCTAGTTTAAACGCAAGTTGAGCTACTTTGGGCTATTAATATTAAGAAACTCAATGATTATTTATGCTTTAATAATATAATCTGTACAAATCACAGCCGAGTCCAACAGCCTGATTGACTAGACCACTTACAGCAGGAGAGCCCTGATCAGAGACCGGCCCCTGGGGACGTCTAACAACTCATTACCAAATGGCTTTTTCCTCTTGTGATAAATATGTTGCAAGACAACTATTTTCAATGTACGCTGATCCCTCCAATAAGCTATATTTCACATGTCTCAAACCAATCCTAAATGATTTTGAAAGGATGAATTTACTTTATCAAAAGATGAAGCAGATCAGTATAGCCTTCACACTGTCTTAGAAAACTTCACTCTTGGAATACTCAGAAGAATCTTTCGTCCTCATCATGCAAAGCTTCATGTTAATTTGGACTACAATTCTATGTATCTGCCCCTGGAGAAAGTGGACTTTGGTTACGAATTTTCAACACTTCTGGCCACTAACAGACAAAAGAATTTTACAACGCAGGAAAAGTTTCAAAATGTTCAAGAAAGATGCGATAATTTTTTAATGAAAGCTTGCAAATAGCTTCTTTCTCGTATTCTAAGTAATGTTGAAACTATAAAAAAGGTGAAAAATCTGTTACCTATCATATGCCTTAGATTACATGGCCACCATTTTCGGAACTTCCATTAGTATTAGCTGACCAATCTAAACTTAGTGAAATTGAAAGTCAGTGGCGCCTACTGTTAACCATTGACTAGTCCAACATTTGTAAGGGACAAATTCCGACATCTGAATCGTCATTTTAGACCAAGACAATAACTGTCAAAAACACTGCTGGCGATCCCATACTGATTGACCTCGCTGAGTTTGTGTTGAAAATATACAGCTTGCCAATCAGTAATGCCCTGGTTGAACGGATATTTTCGAGAGTAACGTCTGTGAAAACTAAACTGAGAAATCTTGAATGGGAATGGGACTTGAGCTTTTGACATCAGTCTTGAGAATCAAAACATATCTTGAAGAAAATGTAACTTGTTGCTTGTCATTTGAACCACTCATGTCAATGCTTAAATATGAGTCTGCAATATACAAGAACGAGGTTGTGGATGCAGATCAAGATCTTGGTAATCTTCAACTGTAAAGACGTGGAAGGACTCCACACCCATTAAGCTTCAAACAGTAAATATTGGTAAGCTATCCTATTGATTAAATATATATATGAGAACAAGCCTGAATGGTCCCCAGGACAATATGCAACTGAAAACTCACACCCCAGAAGTGACTCGAACCCATACTCCCAGAAGCAACGCAACTGGTATGTACAAGACGCCTTAATCCACTTGACCATGACGACCGGACTAATGAGGTGATAGCCGAGGCTATTTGAACCACCCCACCGCCGGCACTCGGATAGTAATCTTGGGCATAGCATTTTACCAAATCACCTCATTCTTTGGGGCACACGTGAGGAACACAAATGCGAACTTGTTCGCGAACTTGTTCGCATTATCACAGAGATAATGTTAATAAAACAATTAAAATCGTTTAATGTACTCTATATATCATAATAGATTACTTTGAAACCCGTATCAGTCACTAAACAAAAAATTGGGCTACTCTTATTACAAATTCGCTACTTTTAGCAATTTGAATCTGCCAACCCTGCTCCATACCGCCAGTAGTGTTCGACCCAGGAAGATACAGTGGAACACCTTCTTCACTGCCCTCGATTTCATTCTATGTATCTTCTATGTATTTCATTCATTTCAGCGCTATGTATCTTACAGCGCTCGCGTCAGACTAGAGAGTGCCGTTCGTAGGCTGAATATTCCCCGCCTCACAGTTGCCGTTCTCCTTGACGGGGCAGGTGCGAGAGACGAAGACGTCCGTCATGACATCCTTCGCCATACCTTCCGCTTCATCCGTCATGTCCGTGGCCTGAAGAGACTATAAAATATGTAGCCTGACGACATTGTAGGATCTATGGCCTGAAGGGACTATAGGGACCCCATCCCTCCGCTATTTCCCGGTATCGGGCAGCCGGGGCGCATCCGATCCCACGATCGTCGTCGCCCCTAAGTCAACACCACAACATCATAACAAACAGCAAGTTGCTCGAGACAGGCTACAGTCTCGTCCGTAGGTTGGAGACAGGCTACAGTCTCGTCCGTAGGTTGGAGACAGGCTACAGTCTCGTCCGTAGGTTGCATAATTCCCTCCTCACTGTTCTCGACGTGGCAGGTGCGAGAGACCGGGGCATTCGTTATAACATCCTTCGCTATACATTTCAATTCATTGGCCACGTTCGTGGCGTGATGAGGCTGTAGGGATCCCATCCCTCTTAAAATGTTTAAAAAATAAAATGTTTATTCAGGTAAAGTACATACATACAAGAGGTTATACAAAAGTTGATAGATTTATAGATAGAGCTAGTACATACAATGCCTAGAGCCACGCTAGTTCCCTGGGTCAGGCTGCCGGGGAGCATCCCATCCCTTGCTCTTCACCCCTTAGTTAATACAGTACTGGAAATTCAGGATGGTTTTCAGAAACTGACAGCTAGAAGACTGCAGTAACCTAAAAAGGGAACATAGAGGCATTGTAATCATAAGCAGAAAGCTTGGTGGTAAGACTAGATGTTTTACTATGGTCAAAGGCATCTCTGAATCTCATTGAATCTGCAAACACTCCATGCAAATAAAAAAAAGTGTATGGAACTCGCTTCCAAATGAATTAAAAACCTCCAACCAATACTTTATTCAAAACTTTAGTTAGTTTAATTCATTTATTATGCACCCCATACCCATCTTGTGGGTGGTAGTGGAAAGGATTACAGAGGCACATAATGGGGTCAGGGACTGAACCCCACAATTCATTTAGTTAATCAAGTTACAATCTTGATGAGCTAGTTACAAAATTCAGTATAAGTTGTCACAACATCAATGGGTTCGAGATCGACCACAAGTGCAGTTTCTAAGTTAAGCAACTGACATGTGGAGAGCTAGTGTCACAATTGATGTTTGTCCTGCACACTGCCCTCCATCCAGTAAGCAGCGGTAGATAGGTTAGTCACTTACAAATCACAATAACGTAATACATCAAATGAACAAATCCACAAGGGCTGTGACGAGGATTCGAACCTTTTACCATGTCGTAGCTCGGTCGATTAAGGCAGCATTTGGGATGTGCTCAGACGTAGGTTCGAATCCTTGTCACGGCCCTTGTGGATTTGTTCATTTGATGCATCACGTTATTGTGATTTCTGTGTGTAAGTCACATACCACTAAGGATAAAGAGAAAAAAATGCAAAACGAGAACAAGGTGAAGAAAACAAATTTCGGAACATCTGAAGCACTCCACTCTATCCCCAAAACAACAAACTAAGACTAAGTAAAGAAATAGAAATGATGCTAAAGTTGCAAGGATGATATAAAATCCAGTAGAGACAAAGGGAAGGGAAAGGCCATATGTGTAATAGAGAGGACTCCAAAATACTTTTTCTTCTATGCATAGCCTAGAACGAAAACCACATCTTGCATTAGGCCCTTATGGAAGGTTAATGGAACTCTCACAGATGACAACAAAGAAATGAGTGAAACACTGAGGCTACAGTACGATTCTGTTTTCGGTGAACCCTTGAATACATTGAAGTTCATTGATCCAAATGAATTCTTTATGAATGTGACACCGCCATTGAATCATATGTCGCCCTAATGCCACTTGAGTCTGAAGTAGCCATAGACAGCATGCCCATGCATCCTGCACCAGGCCCGGACTCCTGGAATTTTGTATTCACCTTAGACAAAAATATAATTCTGTATTCCCCTTAGACAAAAATAGAATTCTGTATTCACCTTAGACAAAAATAGAATTCTATATTCACCTTAGGAAGTAACCTGCTTAGAAAAGTTTTTTCACATTGACTCTTAACTCACGAATATTTGCAGGGTTATTAATTTTCCAAAAATTTTTATAATTTGGTTCAAATAATTATTACACATAGTAAACAAGTTGTTTGCTCATATTCCTAATGAATGCCAAACTTTCTCCTTACAGTTCATCAGCAAGCTGTTCCAAGTGTGAATCCTAAATATTTAGAAGTTTTATGTAAAGAATTTCAAGAATCTAAAATTTACAATCTAGAGAGCAGTGATGGAAGATAAGATATTGAGAGATATTGTTCAATTGCTACAAGATGTACAATGGTTGTATAACTTTCCTGTAACTCAGGTGGGTTTAACTAAAATTATGACGAAAAAAAAGTGTATTCAGTGTAGTGAAAAACTCCTTTCTGAATCTGTCCCGAGATGCTCTCTATGCCAGAACCTATTTTATTCACACAAGACTGTTATTTCTTGTCAGCCTCTTTGACCTTATCTCTCATTTCTCAAAGGCATTTCTCAAATGGTCTTCTCTATCAAGTGATTAGGGATGCATGACTATGGTGAGTCTAACTTGAGCTACCACCAAGTGACTAGCTTGCAATAATTTAAAATAGGGTTCATTACATACACACCCTTTGAAAAAAATACCGGTACAGTAATTAGAAATTTAAGGAAAACAAGTATTGCTTTCCTATCTACTAACATGTAATCAAAAGTTACCCCATCCACCACTAGGAGAAAGCACTGGTTGCCACAGCATTGTTGATGGTGTTAAGACTACCCAAACAAGCTCATGGATGAGGGGACAAAATGGAGAAAAAAACAGGCATCCTAGGGACTGGTTTAGAAAGTACAGTATTGTTTCACTACACTCAACTTTCTTTTTCTCAGCTAAGGCCTTCCTATTTCTGAGCTAAGGCCCCTCAAATACTCCATGAGCCAACTCTACATGGATGCAAGGCTATGGAAACTGCAGAAAGATACAACAATACAGTACTGTATAGGGAATCTTAGCCATGCCAGAAAGTTAAGCCAGCCAGGGCTGCAGGGAGGAGAAGCACCACCCAAAGTTGCTGAATCAACCAGGAACCTAAGGAAGTCGGGGCAGTTGAGTGGGCTGGAGAGAATACCTGGATAATGTTTTGGGAATTCTTTGCTCCCAGAGCCTGGCCTAGAGGCCAGGCTCGGCCAGGGCTTGAGTTCCAAACCACATTATGGCATAAAACATGTCATTGAGAAAATCAATTGGGGTGTTGAGGTGACTTAAACCAGAGATCAAGGTACTCCCAGCTGCATACTTTACCACTGTACCATGACTCATTATAAGTTATGCAACCTGGGATTCCACTGAATTGACTTTCTCATTGATATACAACATCATGTTAGTGTGATTTTTTTGTGTATTTATGCGTCGGTGTTATCTGAGCTACTTGGTGTTAGACTGATTTTGACAATGTCTCGGTCACAAAACCTTGAAAAACTGTCGGTTAAAGGCAGAGGTAAATTTGGTGAAGAAGCAACTACACTATAGCTTCTCAGGGAGGAGAAAATCCTACCAGTCAGTACCTTCTACAAGGAAAAAGAGAAGGTGATTGAGAATTGAATTATCATTGGCAAGAAAAACCCCTTCAGAATTAATCCTCAACATGCAAGTACAGTATCATCAAAATTGTCACCTCGCCTGTGCACCAAAAAGAATGTTATCTAGGCATAGATTCAAAGACTGGCAGGAAAAATGAAATTGTAATTTGACCATAACTGCAGGCCCCAGACTTCTAGATACCTGTTAACTTCTAGGTGAACAGAGGCATTGGGTGAAAGGAAACATGCCCAACCGTTTGTGCTGTCCGAGGATTGAACCTGGATCCCCAAGATGCTAGTCAAGGATAGAGACCACTGTACTTCAACACACATTTTTGTTTAATTTGCCAAGTACTGTACTGTACTTTTACTGAAATCTACACCATACATAGTTTGTACCTTCATAAACTTTCCATAAAGAAGCAGCTTTGTTTAGATGTAATGATCTGTTCTTGTTTGAATTCCTATATAATATTTTGAAAATAAGTAAGATACTGTAGTTAAAGGTGACTGTAATTGTTTGTATTATTATTATATACAGAATTATTAATTATTTATAATATATGCAATAACTCTCAACTATCTCCACCAGGTTTTCACTAGAAATGTGTTTTCAAAAATGCCAGATGAATGGAAAGAAGCGCTGTCTGAACTTCCACTTGAGGTTCTAAATGGCATTCCCCAGTTTAAAAGTCAGGTAAATGTGCTTTCAAAAGTGCCTTGAATTTCACATTTTGGAAGAAATTTTAATATCCCAAAAATACTTTAATTTAATTATTAAAGATGTCAGAATTTATATAAAGCTTTACATTAACATTTATTACATTAACAAAAATATATAAAACAAAAATCAGCATTGGATGTAATGAAATGCCTCTTTCTGGTAGGGCCTTTGGGGCTCCTTAAGCTATCTCACTTTGATGACTTCTCCCTACTGAGTCACATTAATGGGCCATTAGTGGGCCACAGTGTGTGGCCCACCCAGGACCAGAGCCACAACCTGGCTCCCTCAAAGGCACAGGAAGTGTGCCAGAAAACATAAGTTCCAATTGTGCTGGCTGATGCAGTATGAAGCACTGTCTGGCTGTGTACGATTGTGTTCGCTGGCACATTGAAGACTTTGGGAGCAGCACAGGAATCTGTTCAGAGAATTGTTGTTCATATTCTTAAAGCTTATTTTCCTCAAAAACATAGGAATTGAATAACTGTGTGAAGTTTTAAATTAGAAACAGAAGTTTTTAAGTTATTGAAGTTTGATGTGCTAGGCTTATGCAAGACAAAGGTAAAAAAAATTAGAAATAGCACGCCAGTTCACTTAGTGCAGTATGTTTACCTTTCCATTGCAGGGCACCATGCTTGATCCCCTTGTGTAATATTTCAAACTTCTTTTTGTATATTACTCTAATTACATTAATAATTACATTTTCAGGTACACTGGCCATCTTCCCTTAAGTCATTTTTGGAATCATGTGAGAGACTTTCCTTGCAACATCTGGCTGTTCATCACCATAGGCAGTCCATGGCAATATTGGGCTCCCAGAATGTGCAGCTGCCACAGAAATTTACACATGGAATGTCTGTGAAAAAGAAACACGAAGTCACATCTCTCTTGAGTTTAATGAAACGACTTTCAGAGATTACTCAAAGTGTTCACGTCCTTGATATTGGAAGTGGCATAGTGAGTATTTATACATTCTTAATTAGTTTTTAGGTTTTAAATTTGTGCAAATCAGCAAACAAAAGTAAGTGGTATAAATTGAAAATATTAGAATTTAAAATATTTGGGGGAGTATTTTCTGAGCTATTCCATTAGTTCTTTCCTTAAGACAAGATTCAATTGGCCTCTAGAGAGGATCAGCAGCAGGCGGGTCAACATTTTGCTCCAATCTGATGAGAACCTTTCAAACCTTCCTTGTCTCTTCATTCTTCAATGTTGCTGGGTAAACATCGGAGAATGTTCAGTCTAGCCAGAATTAGACAGGAAAGTGTTTCCATAAAACACAAAAGCCTACTCCACGTTACTGACACAGAGATATGCAAGACACAACTCCTGTGTTCTGCTTGGATGTTTTATTAATTATTTATCATTTGTTTCTCCTTATTTACAAAAGTATGTTTGTTGAATAACTTGATACATCACATAATTCATAAAAACTGCCACTAATTAAATTTGTAACTTGCATCAAATTCCAGCAAATCATTATAAAAAAATCTATATTCCATCAGATCATTGTACAAAAATCTATATTTCCATCAAATCATTGTACAAAAAATCCATATTTCATCAAATCATTATCAAAAAAACTTTTAAAAGAAGTCTATTTCATCATTTTCATCGGTCAAACCAAGCCCGGGTTTCACTCCACTGTTTGCATCATTAAACATCGGAACATTTTGAATAAAATTTGTTCCATCTTACTAAAGGAAGGCATCTGCCATCTGTGGTGTTCTTGAGGACTCCTGAATAGACCTAACCATGAATCATGACAATGGTCCCTTTGGTGATTGGTTTACCTGGTATAAACATTACAACTATATGGAGATGTGGAAACGATATGAATATCATTGGTATACATATCTTGTAATTATGAAATTTTATAGTGACAATGACCACATTTACTTAGTAATATTCATGACGACAAGTGCATTCACCTAGTAATGTAACCATGAAATGAGAGTAGGATTTTTTCAAGGGTCAGGGTAAACTCCATTACATCAACATAGAGTTATTGTATCTTTATTTGCATCATACGTGTAAAACCCAAACAATAATTGTTTAAATCATCATATGATAATAACCGCATTACCCCATGAATCAACATATGATGATAACCGCTGTCTAAGGGTTAATAATCTTTTGTGTTGCTAAGTTGCACCTTGGCACATTTTTTTTTATGTTTTGTGAAAAGTTCTTTTCTATCTTCATTCTAGGCTGGATTGAGTATTCTGCAATGGCTTCCTAATATCAGTGTGTGATCCAACCGAGATGGTTTGAAGGTTTCTTATCGGACTTGTGTGGAATGCTACCCAACAATTGATCCTCCCCTAGGGACCAATAGGATCTTGCCATAGTTCTGACTATGAAAAGCTAAAAAATGAGCTTTCATAAATTTCTAATCTAGCTTTAGGGAGCTTTTAGGTACCATGAATATCCATCTTTTTTTGTTTTTCATATGTAATTATCATCATATTTTTGAGCTTTGTGTATGATACTGGTAATTGTTTTCAATTCAAGGGATATATGGACACACTTCTTCACTGCATGCTCAAGCTTACTATCATTGGGGCTGAAAGTGATAATAAGAATGTAAGAAGTGCAAATAAGAGACAGAGGGAACTCTTGGGCAAGTGTAGAGGTGTCCGGCACATGACGTGGACTCTGGCAGATGATACCTTGACCATTCGTAAAGCCAAGGAAGTGCTATTAGAGTTGATTCACCGAAATGATATGTGTACGTGTCAGCTTAAGAGGCAGTGTATAACACCTGGTAACATGAGTAAAAATCCATCAGTAGTTGTTGGTAATGAATGTGAAACCAATGCATCAGCGGACAGTGGTGATCAGGCAGAAACAGCTGAAGGTAGTGTTCATGCAGAGACAGGCAAAGGTCATAAAGAAACAGCTGAAGGTGACAGTCAGGCAGAGATAGCCAAAGGTGATGATCATGCAGAGACGGCCAAAGGTGACACTAATGCAGAGATAGCCAAAGATGATGATCACTCAGAGACAGCTGAAGGTGACAGTCGTGCGGAGACTGTTGAAGGTGACAGTCATGCGGAGACTGCTGAAGGTGACAGTCATGCAGAAACAGCTGAAGTTGATGATCATGTAGAGGCTCTGGCTCATGCATTAGATGGTTATCCTCCCAAATCTGCCATACTCTTTGGCCTTCATGCATGTGCTGATCTCTCCCCAATCATGATCAAAATATTTAAAGATTGTCCTGAAGCCTCTTCACTTGTATTGCTGTCATGTTGTTACCATAAGATGCAGCTGTTCAAGAAGGACAAAATGATGCAACTGCCCAAGAAGAACAAGATGCAGTTGCTCAAGAAGAACAAGAGGCAGTTGCTCAAAGGGAATAAGAAGCAGTTACTTAAGGAGGACAAGAAGGAGTTACTCAATGAGAACACAGCTAAACAGAGTGATGACATAAATTCCCCTAGAAATTACAATACTGAAATGTCTTGCTCAAATGCCAGTGGAAATTATGAAGACTCTGATGAGAGCAGGAATGTTAAACAGCAGTTTAAACAATTAGGTTTTGAAGAAACAGAGAACAAATTTACTGATGATAATGGAGAAGATTTTATCAATTTTCCCATGAGCACAGCTTTAAAAAATATTCTTAGGGAAAATGAGTTTCAAATGTCAGTGTTTGGTTTGCGACTTGCAGCGCAGGAATCAGGGCTACGATGGATTCACCAAACGGAGGAAAATCATGAAAATCACAAGAGAAATGTTGTGTATAGAGCACTTCTTGAAGCCTTCTGTATCAGAGGTAAATAATGTTTTTGATAATGCTAGCATTAAGCCAGCATATTATTTGCAAGTAGTGTAGATTTCATCTGAATGTCTAGTGGCTCATATTTTTTAATCAGTCAGTTAGAGCTGTGTGAAAGTTAAAAAGCCTTTGGCATCATTGAAGGATCCTAATTTTAGAGGAAGATGCATTCTTGGGGAGACAATATAAAGTAATGTGAACATCTTTGGAAGAGTCTGATGGAATTGTAATCGCATCATGGGTCATGCCAGACGCATGCATAACTTACTGGGCCATGACTCGTACTATAGCTGTACACAAGGCTATAGTATGAGTCCTATAGCCTTGTGTAGGAATGAGTTTCATCATTCTTCAACATATTTACTACTACTACATAAGACTGCTCCCTGGGAGTAATTGAGTTCAGGTATGTTTATTTAAACAAAATACAGTATATCTCAATACAGTACATTTCTACCCATTCTCTACTGGGAGACTATCATATGCAGTACAAGCATATTCACACACTAAAAAGAAAGAAGAGTTAAGGGAGAGTTTGTGTACACTGAATATGTTCTCTCTTTATTTCCAGAGGGCTTCACTTTGAGAAAACTCCGTCGTCGTTGTGTAAGGAAATATCAATTTATAGACTTTAGTGATTATATTAAAAATGTTACTATGAATTATGAATTTCTACCATCAAAAGACAATGTGCATATAGCAAGATCGAATAAAAGTAAAAATTGTAGTAAAGATGATATATTAGTCATACAAGGTAAGGAAAATAGTCATAAAGCTGTAATGGGAGAAAACCTGCCCGAGACTACTGAGCCCTCGCCATGTCAAAGTCATGAGACATTAGAGACACCGACCATAACGCAAGACTATATCAAATGTGCGTTAGAACAATGTTATGAGGACTACCACCACTTATTTCCATTGATTGAGCCGCTCACTGGCCTGCAGTTGGCCTTACAGTCGGTGTTGGAGGCATTAGTGCACGTAGACCGTCTAGTTTACCTGAAAGAGAGCGGATTTGCAAATGTGTGGATGGAGGAGGTGTTTGATGCCGAAATGTCTCCCAGAAATATTGCTTTGGTTGCTGTCAGGTAAGTGTCTTTTAAGGCCTTGTTTTACATTCCATGCATCTGTTGCTAAATTTTATTTTTACCATCCATGTAAAATGAGACTTTTGATAAACTGCTGGCTTCCTGTCCCCTCCCCCTGTGGCTATTTAATAGATGGTTGCCCTCAAGTCAATTTAGGTAAATATTTATTAGCTAATGTATCATATAAATATAGTATTAAGAAATATCCCAGAAATGTAAAACAAAGTAGCTATTTTATCTTAAGTTATGCCTGAAATGCTTTGCATTACCAGTGGTTTTATAAAATATATATAAATACAGTACTGTATCTACTAAGTGACCACTGTAATCTGATTCTCTGTTTACAAATACAGTACTGTATTACTAAGTAACCACTGCAATTTAATTCTAAGTACAGTACTGTATATCTTATAAGCAAATATATTGTTATATTGTTTGCAAAAACTTGAATAAAAATTTTATTTTGCTTTTGTTAATTTAGATAATGTACATAATGTATTTCTAAGGTATCTCACTTGTTTTCTTTCTAAGATGAGTTTGCACTCTTATGGAGGGCATTGTCCAGTCAGGCAAAACAACATTCTGTGACCACTGACTCAATTGTGTTGTGAGATGGGCAGTATTGGTGTGGTGAGAGAGGTATTGGTGTGGTGAGAGAGGTATTGGTGTGGTGAGAGAGGTATTGGTGTGGTGAGAGAGGTATTGGTGTGGTGAGAGAGGTATTGGTGTGGTGAGAGAGGTATTGGTGTGGTGAGAGAGGTATTGGTGTGGTGAGAGAGGTATTGGTGTGGTGAGAGAGGTATTGGTGTGGTGAGAGAGGTATTGGTGTGGTGAGAGAATTAATGGTGTGGTGAGAGAGGTATTGGTATGGTGAGAAAGGCAGAATTGGTGTGGTGAGATGGGCAATATTGGTGTGGTGAGAGGGGTAGTATTGGTGTGGTGAGATGGGCAATATTGGTGGGGTGAGAGGGGTAGTATTGGTGTGGTGAGATGGGCAATATTGGTGTGGTGAGAGGGGTAGTATTGGTGTGGTGAGATGGGCAATATTGGTGGGGTGAGAAGGGCGATATTGGTGGAGTGAGATGGGCAGTATTGATGTGGTGAGAAGGGCAATATTGGTGGGGTGAGGGGGGGGGCAGTATTAGTGGGGTGAGATGGGGCAATATTGGTGGGGTGAGGGGGGAAGTATTGATGTGGTGAGAGGGGCAATATTGGTGGGGTGAGGGGAGGGAGAAGTATTGATGTGGTGAGAGGGGCAATATTGGTGGGGTGAGATGGGCAGTATTGATGTGGTGAGAGGGGGCGGTACTGGAGTGGGGGAAGAGGATCCCATGCCACATCCGTACCTTGTAGTGCGTGAAACCAAATGTGAAGCAATACAGAGGTTTGCAACAAGATTTGTGCCCGAGCTAAGAAAGTTAAGTTATGAGAGGAGAGAGAAACAGATGTAATATGGTCACAACATACAAGATACTGATGGAAATTGACAAGGTAAACAAGAACAACCTCTTTAAATCGAGAGAAAGCAGTACGAAAAGACAGATGTGGAAATTGGAAACGCAAATGAGTCGAAGGAATGTAAGGAAATACTCGTAGCCTGTATGGGTGACACGTGGAAGCACGGAAAGGTGTTGAAGCCACCTCCATCCTCACCTTTAAGGTTAGATTCGACATAGAACTCGAACGTCAGAAAGGTTATAAGGCAGCAGATACAACAAAGCTGGCAGGTGGGGCCAGAGAGCTAGACCTGTCACTTCCCTGTTGTCATTGATTGGTAAGTACTGATAGGTAAGTATTGATGTTATTGGGGAGGTGTGAAGTCCGCAGTTCTTGTTGCATGTTGTTGTCATTATTAATCGCACAGTGTGCGCCAGGCTCAGTTTACTGCAGTTTATGCAGTGGCCATGACGTGCAGTGTACTTTAGGAACTGTATAAGGTATAGTATGCATATAGGAGATTCCTCTAGAGACATAACAGGAGTTGTCACCTGACATCGGAAAAATGTATGACACAATTACATATTGTACCCTAATGTGTCGGCCGTCCGTCATATTGCAACAATTTCATTCGTTTTTATATCAGCATAAAAATATCCTGTAGATATGAATATAAATAATGTGCAGCGAGATGTGTTAGTGTGGTGGGTCAACAAGACTGCTCCAGACTTGTCTGGTCTTGGTAATGGCGACAAGTCCGTCAATATTGTGTCTACCGCGCAGCACCCACTTACGACTTCCTCAAGGTCACCACGGCTATAGTCATTCCAACCTATCCCTGGATGCAACCCACTACATTTGTCCAAGTTCCGGATACCTATTCACTGCTAGGTGAACAGAGACATTTGGTGAAGGAATTTCTTTATAAGTAAATTTACGATCTCGCGAGCATTTATGCTTACAATGATGGTTCTATTTCAATGGTATGAGGGGCGCACTGCAGCAGCCTGTAGAATGCAGAGAGAACAGATGTACACTCAGACTATTAGTGTGAGACTAGTAGTCTAGTAGGCCACGGGAGACATGCACCCTGCACGTAGGGTGCAGTCGCACCACAGATTTTCAGTATCAGCTCTTGATACTGGTAATGGCTCAAAAGGGCCACCACTTACGGGCTATTCATACTCGTGCCACCTTTTGGGTGGCTTAATCTTCATCAATCAATCTAGTAGGCTTAGCTCCACACATACAGAATTTAGATGCACTACAACTTGCCACTTACTTGCCACTACTAACCACTTAAGTTAACTTGCCACTACTAACTTAACACTAAGAACAGTGGAGGAGTAATTTTCTGTGATTCAAAGTCAAGCACTTGAAAATATTCTTATTTTTCTTCATATTTATCATTCGTCATATTGTCTGGTCTTGAGGAAAATGTTCTTCAAGCATGCAGAATAGATACTAGGAATGTTGTTACATCAATTATGCCTACCTACCTACCTTGTCTACCTTGTGTAGCTTCCGGGGATCAACAGCCCCGCGGCCCGGTCTCCGACTAGGCCTCCCGGTTGGTCGTCTGGTCAACCAAGCTGTTGGACGCGGCTCCTCGCAGCCTGGCGTATGAATCACAGCCTGATACGACCAGGTATTAAATAACATAATTAATTGACAGAGCAAGAATTTCAGTCTCATTTGTATGGATACCATCTCGCATAGATTTTGTTCAGCATGATGACTGGAGGGTAGAAATAGCCTAAGCTATCTTGAGGTTATCTTGAGATGATTTCGGGGCTTTTAGTGTCCCCGCGGCCCGGTCCTCGACCAGGCCTCCATCCCCAGGAAGCAGCCCGTGACAGCTGACTACCACCCAGGTACCTATTTTTACTGATTGAGATAAGCTACTCAATCCTTTTTAAGATGTACTTCCTGTTCTCAATAACCTTACTTGAACTTGATGTCGCAGACAAGGCAGCTAAAGTTGCATATGATAGAGCCTAAAATTGAGCTAGACCTACTTATTCGAATCTGCTGTACGGACCGGACCGTATTATTTAAGGAAAGTCGGGATGACAGAAAAACAATCTTGACCAGACCACACACTAGAAGGTGAAGGGACGACGACGTTTCGGTCTGTCCTGGACCATTCTCAAGTCGATTGTGACTTGAGAATGGTCCAGGACGGACCGAAACGTCGTCGTCCCTTCACTTTCTAGTGTGTGGTCTGGTTAACATACTTTAGCCACGTTACTGTGACTCATCGCTTGCATACAGAAAAATAATCACTTGGTTAAGTTATATTGTATGAATATAATAGCTCTCGGTGGAATGTGATGGAGTTTACTTTGACCCATGAACAAATTCCTGCTACCATTTCAAGGTTAAGTGTACTATGAGAAGCCTGGCGTCATACGTGTGCGTCACATTGGTGACTGGCGCCTTTTAGTCTATACTCTCGCCCATGTGGAGCCAATTAGGCCACATGTCAACACGCAGAGCCCAACACCATTGAATATTATTAGCGTCCTTTTCACTACCTTTTATGGCTGTAATGGAGTATACCAGGTAAAGCAATCATCTTTTTTTTATATATAAGAACTCTTGTATATCTTGAGGTTATCTTGAGATGATTTCGGGGTTTAGCGTTCCCCCGGTCCTCGACCAGGCCTCCTTTTTTTTTTTTTTTTTTTTTTTTTTTGTTACACATCCCCCAGGAAGCTCCCCGTGGCAGCTGTCTAACTCTCTAGTACATATTTACTGTTTTGTGAACTGGGGCATGAAAGAAACTCTGCCCTACGATTCCAGAGTGTGAATACTCAGCCGTCAGGCCTCCCGTATATGTATGTATGTGTGTGTGTATGTATATATATATATATATATATATATATATATATATATATATATATATATATATATATATATATATATATATGTCGTACCTAGTAGCCAGAACGCACTTCTCAGCCTACTATGCAAGGCCCGATTTGCGTAATAAGCCAAGTTTTCCTGAATTAATATATTTTCTCTAATTTTTTTCTTATGAAATGATAAAGCTACCCATTTCATTATGTATGAGGTCAATTTTTTTTATTGGAGTTAAAATTAACGTAGTTATATGACCGAACCTAACCAACCCTACCTAACCTAACCTAACCTATCTTTATAGGTTAGGTTAGGTAGCCTAAAAAGTTAGGTTAGGTTAGGTAGGTTAGGTAGTCGAAAAAACATTAATTCATGAAAACTTGGCTTATTAGGCAAATCGGGCCTTGCATAGTAGGCTGAGAAGTGTGTTCTGGCTACTAGGTTCGACATATATATATATATATATATATATATATATATATATATATATATATATATATATATATATATATATATATATATATGTCGTACCTAGTAGCCAGAACGCAATTCTCAGCCTACTATGCAAGGCCCGATTTGCCTAATAAGCCAAGTTTTCCTGAATTATTATATTTTCTCTATTTTTTTTCTTATGAAATGATAAAGCTAACCATTTCATTATGTATGAGGTCAATTTTTTTTATTAGAGTTAAAATTAATGTAGAT